AGGTCCATCATTGTTTGAGTCCACAGTGCTCTCTGGATGTAGATGAACTACAGCTCCAAAACCAAAGGTCAATGTCCAGCAAAACCTTCCTGTATTTCCTCTTGGTCATGGGAGTTTTGTGTGCCAATTTGGTTCAATTCCATCATTGGTGGAGTTCAGAATGCCCACTGATTGGAGGTGAACTATAAATCCCAGCAACTACAACTCTCAAATGTCAAGGTCCGCCAAAACTCCACCAGTGTTCACATTTGGACATTTTGAGTATGTGCCACCTTTGGTCCAGATCCACCATTGTTTGAGTTGAACTATAAATCCTAGCAACTACAACTCCCAAATGACAAAATCAGTACCACTCCCTGCATATCACATATTTACATTATGATTCATAAAGGGGCAAAATGACAGTTATGAAGTAGCAACGAAAATAATGTTATTTTGGGGGTCACCACAACAATAGGAACTGCATTAAGGGGTCATGGCATTGGGAAGATTGAGAAACACTGATTTAAGCAATTTTTTCTTTATTTTTCCAAGTTTTGCATGCAAGAGTATTCTTGCAGCTAGAGTCTTTTATGTTGCAATAACTTTAAAAAAAATCATAGAATCATAGAATCCTAGAGTTGGAAGAGACCTCATGGGCCATCCAGTCCAACCCCATTCTGCCAAGAAGCAGGAATATTGCATTCAAATCACCCCTGACAGATGGCCATCCAGCCTCTGTTTAAAAGCTTCCAAAGAAGGAGCCTCCACCACACTGGGGCAGAGAGTTCCACTGCTGAACGGCTCTCACAGTCAGGAAGTTCTTCCTCATGTTCAGATGGAATCTCCTCTCTTGTAGTTTGAAGCCATTGTTCCATTGCATCCTAGTCTCCAGGGAAGCAGAAAACAAGCTTGCTCCCTCCTCTCTGTGGCTTCCTCTCACATATTTATACATGGCTATCATATCCCCTCTCAGCCTTCTCTTCTTCAGGCTAAACATGCCCAGCTCCTTTAGCCGCTCCTCATAGGGCTTGTTCTCCAGACCTTTTATCATTTTAGTCGCTCTCCTCTGGACACATTCCAGCTTGTCAATATCTCTCTTGAATTGTGGTGCCCAGAATTGGACACAATATTCCAGGTGTGGTCTAACCAAAGCAGAATAGAGGGGTAGCATGACTTCCCTAGATCTAGACACTATGCTCCTGTTGATGCAGGCCAAAATCCCATTGGCTTTTTTTGCCGCACATCACATTGTTGGCTCATGTTTAACTTGTTGTCCACGAGGACTCCAAGATCTTTTTCACACGTACTGCTCTCGAGCCAGGCATCCCCCATTCTGTATCTTTGCATTTCGTTTTTCCTGCCAAAGTGGAGTATCTTGCATTTGTCACTGTTGAACTTCATTTTGTTAATTTTGGCCAATCATCTCTCTAATCTGTCAAGATCGTTTTGATTCGTACTGATCTGTTTCAATTGTGCTCTTTTCCAGTTCCTTTTCAGTCTTTTTTTTTTTTGTCTACCTTTGTAATAATATATTTCTAGAGATACCTTTGCAGCCAATATGATCATCCTAATAGCAATGAGATGGTGATGGTAATACATTATATCTTTTGAACACCTTTCCAGACATGCATGCACATCATTTTCCTCCTTTTTTTGCCAGAGGAAATTATCATTAGGAGACAAAAGAGAGTGTTTTACTGGGTACCTTGTTAAAGTGAAAACAAGGATGTAATAAAACAGCAATTTAAGGGCAATTTGCTAACAGCCGGAGTCCTCCGGTGCACTGCCATGGCATCCTGCCTCGGAAAAGCAAAAAAAGAGAGCCAAGGACAGAAATGCGTTCCCACTAAATAAATGCATCCATTTGCTGCCCATGTCACCCTTGGGATTTCTAAGGGTTGCGCTCCGGTTTCCGGCTTCCTTTTGATTCTATCCTTGCGGTTCTTTAATGACAGTCCGCAAGGCTCGTTACAAATCCCTGTCTTGTTTATCAATTGCAAAGTTCATTCGTTCAGTCGTCTCCCGACTCTTCGTGACCTCATGGACCAGCCCACACCAGAGCTCCCTGTCGGCCGTCACCACCCCCAGCTCCTTCAAGGTCAGTCCAGTCACTTCAAGGATGCCATCCATCCAATCAATTGCAAAAGGGGGGAGAAATCACTGTGGGAATTGTTATGTGTGTATAAACCAGGCATGGGGCCAACTTGGGCCCTCCAGGTGTTTTGGACTACAACTCCCACAATTCCTAACAGCCGGTAGGCTGTTAGGAATTGTGGGAGTTGTAGTCCAAAACACCTGGAGGGCCCAAGTTGGCCCCATGCCTGCTATAATTCTACTGTGTTAATGCACACTCAGAAGTCTACATATTCCCACAGAAGGTGCACCTACACACTATAGAATTAATGCAGTTTGCCACGCCTTTAACTGCCTTTGCTGAATGCTATGGGATTCTGGGATTTATAGTTTTGCAAGGTCTTCCGCCTTCAGTTCCGAAGGGTACTTGCATCTCCACAAGCAACACCATCCATGATTCCGTATCATTGAGCCTGGGTGAAATACAGCATATTATTATTATTATTATTATTATTATTATTATTATTATTATTATTATTATATTTTCATTATTTAGAAGTGTTTTGAGTAATTCCAAATTATTTGTATGTTTAGTTCTGTTTTTTATTATTATGAGTAATATTATTATTATTAAAATTGTATGGTTGTTTTTTGAGTAATTCCAAATTATTTGTATGTTTAGTTCTATTTATTATTATTATTATTATTATTATTATGAGTAATATTATTATTATGAGTATTATCATTATTTGAGTAATTCCAAATTATTTGTATGTTTAGTTCTATTTATTATTACTATTATTATTATTATTAAAATTGTATGGTTGTTTTTTGAGTAATTCCAAATTATTTGTATGTTTAGTTCTATTTATTATTATTATTGTTATTGTTATTATTATTATTAAAATTGTATGGTTGTTTTTTGAGTAATTCCAAATTATTTGTATGTTTAGTTCTATTTATTATTATTATTAGTAGTAGTAATATTATTATTATGAGTATTATTATAATTTGAGTAATTCCAAATTATTTGTATGTTTAGTTCTATTTATTATTATTATTATTATTATTATTATTATTATTATTATTTGTATACTTTAAAATTGCATGTTTGTTTTTTTAGTGTTGTGAGTCACTTTGCATCTCAACCAAAGTGATAAAAGCAGGACATAAATAATAATAATAATAATAATAATAATAATAATAATAATAATAGCTTGTCAATATTCTTCTTGAATGGTGGTGCCCAGAATGGGACACAATATAATAATAATAATAATAATAATAATAATAATAATAATAACAATAATAATAACAATAATAATAACTGCGGTAGCAAGCAGTAGTAATAATAGCTTGTCAATGTTCTCCTTGAATGGTGATGCCCAGAACAGGACACAGTATAATAATAGTCGTAATAATAATTAATAATAATAATAACAATAATAGCTTGTCAATATCCTCCTTGAATGGTGTTGCCCAGAACAGGACACAGTATAATAATATTTGTAATAACAACAACCATAGCTTGTCAATATCCTCCTTGAATGGTGATGCCCAGAAAAGGACACAGTATAATACTATTTGTAATAATAATAATATGTTCTGTACATGAGGCAGGACATTGTGGACAATCATACAGACACTGAATTGTTTCCGCATCTGTAATAATTATTATTGTTTCCGCCTCTGTAATAATTATAATAAATACATCACACAGTCCTAGACGCTTGGGAAGTGTTCGACTTGTGATTTTCCAATATGAAATCCAGCATATATATCTCGTTTGATGTGCTATACTATGTTTTTGTGTCAATAAAATAATAATAATAATAATTTGTACTGTACATGAGGCAGGACATTGTGGACAAGCATACAGACACAGAATTGTTTCCGCATCTGTAATAATTATAATAAATACATCACAGAGTCCTAGATGCTTGGGAAGTGTTCAACTTGTGATTTTGTGATACGAAATCCTGCATATATATCTCGTTTGCTATGATATACTATGTTTTTGTGTCAATAATAATAATAGCTTGTTCTGTACATGAGGCAGGACATTGTGGGCAAGCATACTGACACGGAATTGTTTCCTCATCTGTAATAATTATAATAAATACATCACAGAATCCTAGACGCTTCGGAAGTGTTCGACTTGTGATTTTGTGATACGAAATCCAGCATATAGATCTCATTTGCTGTGATATACTATGTTTTTGTGTCAATAAAATAATAATAATAATAATAATAATAATAATAGCTTGTTCTGTACATGAGGCAGGACATTGTGGGCAAGCATACAGACACTGAATTGTTTCCGCATCTGCAATAATAATTATTGTTTCCGCATCTGTAATAATTATAATAAATACATCACACAGTCCTAGATGCTTGGAAAGCGTTCAACTTGTGATTTTGTGATATGAAATCCAGCATATAGATCTCGTTTGCTGTGATATGTGGTGCTTTTGTGTCCAAATAATAATAATAATAATAATAATAATAATAATAATAATAATAATAATAGATTGTTCAAGTGGTTATTTATTTATTGTGTCAGGAGCAACCAGACAGTTGTATTACATTTTTAACAAAACAAACAAACAAAACACAAAGTTTGCAAAACACAAAGTTTGTTCAAGTGGTGTCAAACTGCTTTAACTCTACAATGCAGGTGCACCCCAAGTTTGTTGTTTTGCTTTGGGCCTTTTTTGGGTGCTGTTTTGTTTTCTCTTGAGTAACTTTTTCTCCTCTTCTGATGGGAGGAGAAAGCCATTGCATTTCTTGTTCTGTAGGATCGGAGTTGCAAAGCCAGCTCAGAATGTTGAATGTGATTCCCGGGATTGTTTGCTGATTTCACAACTCTCTCTTTCTCTCTCTCTCTCTTCCTTCCCCTCATCCCAAATTTCCCTTTCCCTGCTGCAACATCATCATCGCTGTAGGAATCATTAACCAGTGGCAACAGGAATCCAAGGACAAAGTCATTTCTTTATTGTTAACTCACCTGCCTTTGCTGAAGCCCGGGAACGTGGAAGCCAAGGGGGAGTACATGAAGCTGCTGCCCAAAATCCTGGCCCACTCCATCGAGCACAACCAGCACATCGAGGAGAGCCGGCAGCTCCTCTCCTACGCCTTGATCCACCCTGCCACGTCTCTGGAGGACCGCAGCGCGTTGGCCATGTGGCTCAACCACTTGGAGGACCGCACCTCGGCGGTGGCATCAGCAACGGCATCCGGCACCTTCGGAGGCCAGGCCAGAGGACGTTCCGACTCGGCGGATTACGGCCAGGCGCATTACTACCACCAAAGACAGAACTCGGACGACAAGCTGAACGGCTGGCAGAGCTCCCGGGACTCGGGCATCTGCATCAACGCTTCTTCCAACACCTGGCAGGAGAAGAGCATGGGCTGCGAGAACGGCCACTTGCCCCTATATTCCTCCTCCTCCGTTCCGGCCACCATCAACACCATCGGGACCGGTACGGGCACAAGTAAGTCAGCGGCGTGCGCACACATTTCCATCCGTAGCAGATTTAAAGCAAGGGGAGTGGGGGAAGTGACCAGTAGGGTGTCACACTACCCTGGGTCCAGCGTTGTTTAACAATGTATGATATTGCGGTGTGGCATGGTTTTCGGGCTGTATGGCCATGTTCTAGCAGCCTTTTCTCCTGACATTTTGCCCTCATCTGCAGCTGGCACCTTCAGGGACCTGATGGTAGTCAACCTATGGGATGTCCAAGGTAGGAGAAAGTACCGTTGTCTATTAACCAAGTGGAAAGGGTGCCATTAGCAAGCTTATTTATTTCTATTTACTAGCTGTACACGTGACACATTGCTGTGGCCAACTTTCCCTCCCTCTTTTTCTTCTTTCTTTCTCTCCTTTCTTCCCTCCTTCCTTATTTCCTTCCCTCCCTCCCTCCCTCCTTCCCTCCTTCCTTCCTTCCTTTTTTTCTTTCTTTCCTTCTCTCCTTCCATCCTTTTCTTC